AGTCTTAAAATCCTCTAAGAATAACAAGGCCCCGGGTCCGGACATGATCTCTAACGAATTCTGGAAAGCATTGCCACAGAATGGGCTGAATTTGACCTTAGAATTATTGAATGAAATTTGAGAGAGTGGGTCAGTTCCGGACTCGTGGCCTTGTGCTGCTTTATCAATGATACATAAAAAAGGTCCAAAAGACGACCCAAGTAACTATCGTGGTATCGCATTAACAAATAATATCCTCAAATTTTTTTACAAAAATCTTGGCAGGGCGTATCGAGAAATGGATGGAGGCTTCGAACATTCTCCCAGAGTCACAAGCAGGTTTCAGAAGAGTAAGAGGCTGTGAGGACCAAATTTTCTCGCTGATTACGTCAATACAAATGCTACTTAAAATACCGAAAAACACTATTTATGCAATCTTCGTGGATTTTAAGTGCGCTTTCGATTCTGTCCCTCGCAGCCTTTTGTGGGAGAAGCTTTTTAGAATTGGTCTGAGCTCTAAAATTCTGAGAATCCTGATAAATGTGTACAACAAAGCAGAGGCTCAAGTTACGGTGAAAGGAGATCGTACTAAGAATTTTGAGATTACTGAGGGAGTCTTGCAAGGGGAGATACTGAGTCCCTTGCTTTTTATTCTATTTGTATCTGATTTTGAACCATTTTTTCGAGAGAAAGGCTTTCAGAGGAGTCAGTATCGACGCTAACAACGACCTTCTCATGCCCACGTAGGCTGACGATACAGCCATTATCTGCCATAGTATGCGGGACGTTAAGAATAAACTTCGCGCTTTGAAAGAATATTGTTTGGAAAATGGATTAACAGTAAATACATCTAGGACGAAAGTTCTCCCCTTTAGAGTAAGTGGTAGGATTCACAAGGTGGAAAAGGAGGCATTTAGTTACGATGGAATTCTGCTAGAAACTGTTAACTCATACGAATATTTGGGAGTTATGATAGAGAGTAGTCTAAAGGGAACACTTACAGTTAATCATGCTGTTCAGGAAGCAAAGTCTGCGATAGGAGTGACGAAGTCCATTCTGGCAAAGTCCAAATCTGACGCATGGTGTACAAAATTAAAACTGCTTGAGAGAGTGGTAGCACCTACTTTGCTCTACGCTGTGGCATCCTGGGAATTAGGGCACCTTGATCACTTAGAAAAGATTCAGAATTATTATTATAAACAGATTCTCTTGCTCCCTGCTAATACTCCCGGCTTCGCTCTAAGAATAGAGCTAGGTCTGAAGCATCTGGCGGTCAGAGCAATCGAGCTCACTGTAAACTGGTTGATCAGGGTGCTCAAGATGGAAGAGAATCGTTAGCCGGTAATTTGCTGGAGTCGCCTTGTCTATCTTCTTGACAAATCTTCCAACAAAATTGAATTCAACTGGATCTCTAAGTTAAAAGGTATTTTATCGAGAATTGACATGGAGTTTCTGTGCCTCTGTTTTAACAATGATGTTTGGAGTAATAATAAAGAAAAAATCCTGACAAGACCCGACAACAATTTAAAAGGACAGCACTGCCGAAGATATTCAGAGAGTAATTCATTGCAGATAAACTTTCTCAGAAATTTTTCGACTAAGCCACCCAGATACCTGTCATTGCGCTGCCCAATAGGTTCAACTCGTACGATTGCGCAAATTCGGTTAGCTAACATTTATTCTTGCAGGCTACTTATTAACAATAAAATCTTCAAGCTCACTCCGCATAAATATTGTAATTTATGCCACTTTGAACAGGACGATTTTGCTCATATTATTGTCAGGTGCCCTTACTATGGCAACATCAGGGTTTTGCATTTCAGTGAAATTGTCAATGATTGTTACGAAGAGGATTGGTTGGCTACTTTATTAGACATAAAAAAACCCAAACAACTAAAACGTCTCGCTTTCTTTATTATTGCCGCTTTGGAATTTAGTGATCGAATGCTCCCGGATGATTGAAAGAGAAGAATTGAATTCGAATTTAGGAATTGAGTCGATCTGGAACCTGCCCGCCATTGCATTTCATGTGTTTTAATTTTAATTCAATTGTATTTAACTGAATTAATTTTAATTTTCAATCAAATTCTACATTGTTGAGGTTCATCCTCTGTTTATACACTAAATCACGAATAATCGATTTGAGAGATGTACTGTCTGATCGCCACATTTGGCTTTATGTTTTTTCTTTGTAACTATATTTATTGAAATTGTATACGGCCACGCCCCGTGCACTAGGAGTGTCTTCTACGGTTGTAAACTCACGCAGGCACGTAACTTAAATAAATAAAATAAATAGTAACAATGGTTCGTATTGAAAATGGACTCAATCGTATAATTACTTTCTGAGATATTCAACTTTATATGTAAATCTAATTTTTTAAATATCTCAATAACGAGTCAACCGATCCTAATTTCTTTTCCTGTCCTTTTCTTTATATTTTTCATATCTTTTGTGAAATATTTTTTGATCATTTATTTATCACTTTCTCAACCCTTTTTTATTCTTTGTTTTTTGCTTTCTTGTAATGTCCTTCCTTTGCTTTTATTATTCGTATCCTTTTCTAAATCTTTTTTCGCCATTTATTTATCCCTTTTTGCTTCCGAATGAAAGCCTTATATTTGAGCGATTTTTCCATTTTCTAATTTTGATAGCAAATGGTCTAGAATGTTATGAAACGTGAAGAAATGATATTTTTAGACGTATGTATGTTTGTGATAACTTAGGTTTTTGGTGATCAATTTTTAGAGAATTTAACATAAATACAGTGAAATTTGTCGATAAAAGTCTGAAATTTTAACTCATGGTAGCTATGATTAAGCTTCACTTTAGTACGCAGTTTCAGCCCTATCGGTTAAGTAGTTCCTGATATATAACAACTTCTTTAAATTTGGTTTTTCCTCAATATCTCAAAATCTGCTCCACCGATTTCTATATTTCTTTTTTCAAAATACTCGTCTCGATGGTCTCTATCTAGATCAATCAAAATATATACTCGTTCAGACAAAATTTGAAGATATTGCCGTTTGTACGTTTTTTATGAAAAATCTTGTTTACACGACAACTTGATAAAAAATCGAGATAGGGAGTTAAAATTTTGTATGCTTCAAGCTTTTATAATATAAAAGGTTGGTATTATGGATGCGGGCAATTGGACGAGCGGTTCTTGAGTTATTCAACCTGTTGTGTTAATATATTTTCTTCAAATTTCTCATGAACTACTGAACGAATTTCAATTTTTTTTTCAAAATACTTCTCTCGGTGGCCACCATCTAGATCAATCAAAATATTTATACTCGTCCGTACAAAAAATCAGAGATATTCCCATTTTTTCGTTTTTAAAATTTTTTCATTCTTGTATTCACGATATTTTGAGAAAAAATGAAAATAGTAGGTTGAAATTTGGTGTGATTATAGCTCGTACAATATTAAAGATTGGTATTTGGGATAGGCGCAATCGGCTGAGCAGTTTCGACGTTTTAGATATTTAACCTAAAGAGATATTTAACCTTTTGTACAAATCTATTTCATTAAAAGGTTGAATATCTTCCTGTAGACATCCTGTAGCATGTGGTTAGGGTTGTATACCTATCACAAGGATAGGAAGTTGCTACGGATCCATTCGGAAGCTTACTACCAATGGAATTGGTAGAAATAAAAAAAAGAAAAGGACTAATAACACAAAAAGTAACGGTCACATTCCTTCTGTCGGATGGGCTCGAACCCCTGCTTGCTTTATTTTCTTGCCGATCATCTCTCCCTGCATTTTTTTTCATTGCTTCTCAATGAAATCATATTATGAAAAAGAAAAATATTAATCTTCTTACATTATTGAGGGAAAAAAACTCAATTAATAAATTTTTCGGAGACATTGCAGAATTGATATTTGTATTTTTTTGCTGATCATCTTTCTTTGAATCTTCCGTATTCTGTTCCATTGATATGAGATTAAAGAGATGGGAAATTTGCATATCCGTTGACATTTTTCAAAAAATTGTTACGTCTTGATTTAAGGAAAAGAAAAAATGATGATCAATTCCAAAATTTGATGGATACATAGAAAAATGTCAACGGATAGACCTTAGAAAGAGTAGATGTTTATCTTAAAAATAACGTTTTCAGTCCTGGTCAATTATACGCGGTATTGTCAAGAGGGAGGGAAAGTGAAAAATTGAAAATATGCATGACTGAAGGAGGTAGAGTAAAAAAAGAAAAAGATGGAGATACTTATACGAAAAATGTAGGACATAAATAATAACCCACGCGTCTTGATAAATTAATAATGTTACATCGTTGAGTTGCTCGACAAAGTCAATTAAATGATGATTTGAAAAATGCACTGCACTTGAGATTCTCTCGATATTGAACTTGATGATTGACTCAAAATAATTGATAGTTAACTCGGAATTAATTGATAATTGAATTCCATTAAATAGAGACGCTGTACGAAGCGCTAAACTCAAATATATCGCGTTGATGTACTCCGGTGATGTACTCGATTGAGCGGTTACGGCGATACAATACTGTGATTAGAGTGACTCTCTCGGTATCTAGAACGATACTACTGACTTTTTCGGCGATTTTCTTCTTAGCTGACCGTGACCCCGAAGGGTCCCGAAGTTTCTCGAGATTTTCGTTGAGCCCAGTGACCGTTTTCCTAGTTTGAATAGCTGAATTTCAAAGATCGCGGGGGGCATTCATTATCACGGATGATGAATTGTGCGTTGAATTTCTCTGATGCTGCTTCTCTGCGATAATTACTCGTTGACTGGCTCGGGATGGTGTTCTGAGGGATGTTCTGCCGGTGGAGGGTCTGTCGGTAAGAGACAGAGCTTGGTGATGGGTCTGATGAATGTCATGCTGGTGATTCTCTCGATGTTGGGGGTACCATGTGGTCGAGTTGGTACTACTGCTCGTGATGTTTTGATGGTTGCAACTCTTGTGAGGCCGTCTTCTCCTGGGTGAACTGCCACTAGTCTACCGAGTGGCCATTTTGCTGATGGACAGTCCTCGTCGACCATCAAGACCATGCCTCCAACTTTGATGTTCTCTCGCCGTTGATTCCACTTGTAGATAGCTTGGTACCTTTGAAGACACTGTTTGGACATGGGGTGAGTGCTTGGAGGTCTTCTGGGTCATCTGACATCGGTGTGATTGGCCTGGAGTTGAGGCAGGGCTCTATCTGGATCAGGATGCTGTTGAGTTCCTCGTAGGTGAATGTTGTCGACCCAAGTTCTCTTTTGAGATGATATTTCGTTGATTTGATAGCTGCCTCCCATTTGCCACCGAAATGGGGTGCTCTCGGTGGTGAAAAGCTCCATTGAGTACCGTTGGGGGCGAGAGCAGCCTGGATCTGTTGATTCTTTCTGGATGGCTGGTTGTATAGCTTGTTGAGGACTGTTGAGGCGCCAACGAACGTGGCTGGGTTATCACTGTACATAACCTCGGAGATGCCTGTCCTTCCGGTCAAACTCTTGTAGGCTCCGATGAATGCGTCTGTTGTCTGCCTGGAAACGAGCTCTAAATGGACTGCTGATGTAGTGAAACAGACAAATACTGCAATATGAACGCTAGATAGTTGGGCATTTGTGGGTCGCCATTTGAGAATAGGGAATGGGCCGGCATAGTCCACCCCCATATGAGAAAATGCTCGTGAAGGTGATATTCTGACTGCAGGCAGTTGGCCCATTAGATGCTGGGCCTGTCGTCCACGATTTCGGATGCAGACAGGGCAGCGTGAGATATATGCTCCCACAGTACATCTGCCGCCGATGATCCAATACTTCTGGCGTGTGTGGGCTAGGGTGAGTTGAGTTCCTCCATGGAGTGTCCTTCGGTGAGTTTCTTCGATGACCAATGTTGTTAAACGAGACTGACGAGGCAGGATAATTGGGTGAATCTCGTCAGGGTCTAGTTGAGAATTCATAAGGCGGCCACCTAGCCTGATGATACTCTCATTGTTTAGAGTTGGAGTCAGATTTCCTAGTGGATGACTCCGTGGTATTTGATGGTCTCTCACAAGTAGCCTGTGAACAGATGCAAAATATTGATGTTGCGTAATTTTTACCCAAAACAGTCTGGCTTCGTTGAGTTCTCTAGAGGTCAGGACCGGTGTTTGAAGGACTGGCTGTCTTCTGAACCTGTCGATGGCTCGGTTCAAGGTGGCTGTTACTTGGAGGACGTTGACTAGTGTTGAGGATCTGTTGAGGAGATCTGCTATGGCGTTGACCTTGATAGATGTCTGATGTGATGGAGTTGACCTTGCTCCTTCTGATGCTTCGGCTGGAGAGTCAATTGATGATACTGGCCAGTTTTCAGGTTCCTGATTTATCCACTCAGGGCCTGACCNTCTCTTTTGAGATGATATTTCGTTGATTTGATAGCTGCCTCCCATTTGCCACCGAAATGGGGTGCTCTCGGTGGTGAAAAGCTCCATTGAGTACCGTTGGGGGCGAGAGCAGCCTGGATCTGTTGATTCTTTCTGGATGGCTGGTTGTATAGCTTGTTGAGGACTGTTGAGGCGCCAACGAACGTGGCTGGGTTATCACTGTACATAACCTCGGAGATGCCTGTCCTTCCGGTCAAACTCTTGTAGGCTCCGATGAATGCGTCTGTTGTCTGCCTGGAAACGAGCTCTAAATGGACTGCTGATGTAGTGAAACAGACAAATACTGCAATATGAACGCTAGATGGTTGGGCATTTGTGGGTCGCCATTTGAGAATAGGGAATGGGCCGGCATAGTCCACCCCCATATGAGAAAATGCTCGTGAAGGTGATATTCTGACTGCAGGCAGTTGGCCCATTAGATGCTGGGCCTGTCGTCCACGATTTCGGATGCAGACAGGGCAGCGTGAGATATATGCTCCCACAGTACATCTGCCGCCGATGATCCAATACTTCTGGCGTGTGTGGGCTAGGGTGAGTTGAGTTCCTCCATGGAGTGTCCTTCGGTGAGTTTCTTCGATGACCAATGTTGTTAAACGAGACTGACGAGGCAGGATAATTGGGTGAATCTCGTCAGGGTCTAGTTGAGAATTCATAAGGCGGCCACCTAGCCTGATGATACTCTCATTGTTTAGAGTTGGAGTCAGATTTCCTAGTGGATGACTCCGTGGTATTTGATGGTCTCTCACAAGTAGCCTGTGAACAGATGCAAAATATTGATGTTGCGTAATTTTTACCCAAAACAGTCTGGCTTCGTTGAGTTCTCTAGAGGTCAGGACCGGTGTTTGAAGGACTGGCTGTCTTCTGAACCTGTCGATGGCTCGGTTCAAGGTGGCTGTTACTTGGAGGACGTTGACTAGTGTTGAGGATCTGTTGAGGAGATCTGCTATGGCGTTGACCTTGATAGATGTCTGATGTGATGGAGTTGACCTTGCTCCTTCTGATGCTTCGGCTGGAGAGTCAATTGATGATACTGGCCAGTTTTCAGGTTCCTGATTTATCCACTCAGGGCCTGACCACCATAGCTGATGTTCTGCTAGCTCCTGTGGTGATAGTTCTCTGGATGCACAGTCGGCTGGATTTTCCTTAACACTGGTGTGCCTACAAGTAGCGTCTGGAAGGGATTCCTGAATCTTGATGACTCGGTTTTGGACGGAATCCTTCCATCTCGATGGGTGACTCTTGATCCAAGCTAGGGCTATACTTGAATCAGACCATAGATACGTGCTTACTTCGTTGAGTTCCAGCATCTGCTGAGTTGCAACTACTAGTTGAGTAAGCAAGAGTGCTGCTATTATTTCGAGTCGAGGGATGGTCATGCGTTTGATGGGAGCTATTTTTGTTAAAGCGCATACCATTACCGTTGATGCTGGCTCATTGATTTGCTTGATGTGGATATACACCACTGCGCCCATGGCTGCTGTTGACGCATCTGCAAACCCGTGGATCTGGAAGCTCGATTTCTCCGATGAGAGTCTCATCCAACTTGGCACTGAGACTGCATTCAGTTTGTTGAGGTTCTCTCTGAAGCTCGTTCATTGATCTTCATACTCCTTTGGAAGTGGTGTGTCCCAAGTGAGCTTGAGTTTCCACAGATCTTGAATGATTATCTTGCCGCGGGCGATTACTGGAGCGATGAATCCCAATGGATCAAGCAGTTGAGCAATTTCTGCTGCTACTACTCCCTTGGTGATTGTTGCTGACTCCAACTGCTTTGATTTAAGTCGAAATGTATCGGACGATTGATGCCAATATAGTCGGAGCACTTTGGTGATAGGCTCCTTGAACTGGATGATTGCCTTGCTCGTTGAGATTCCCAATTCCTCTAATAGGTGTGGGCAAATACTGCTCCACCTTTGTAGAGCGAAACCGCCTGCTTGACAGAGCCCTTGTAACTGCCAAGCGATTTCTTTGAGGTGATGTTCTGTATCAGCTCCGTCGTAGATATCGTCGACGTAGCGACCTTTGGTGAGTGTCTCGACGGCTGCTGTATAGTGATTTCTTTCATCCTCTGCTAATTGATGGAGAACTCGTAGAGATAGCCATGGAGAACAATTGAGACCGTGGGTGACTGTGGTCAGTTGGTAGGTGATCTGCTGCTGATTTTCGTTGATCCACAGAATCCTCTGGAGATCCCAGTCGTCTTGATGCACTCGAATCTGTCTGAACATCTTGACAATGTCCGTTCCGAAGACAATTCTGTGTTTTCTGAGCTATGTTAATACGTTCATGATATTAACTTGTAGTTTCTCACCCGGATAGAGGATATCATTGAGAGATAATCCTGATGAGCTAGGACTCGAGCCGTCGAAGACGACTCTCAGCTTCGTGGCGAGTGCGTCTTCTCTCAGAACCCCGTGATGCGGCAGAGAGTATGCTGTGATGAGTTCTGCTCCTTCTGGTGCTTCGTGCATGTGTCCCAGTGCTTCATACTCGTTGATGAATTCTCTGTAGAGCTGGGAATATGATTCGTTTGTCTGGAGACGACGTGGAACTAACTGAAGTTGACGTGAGGCCTTAAATTTAGACTCTCCGAGCGCTGCTGGTGAGGTCCGTAGAGGAAGTCTGACGATGTAGCGCCCAGTTTCATCTCTGGTGTTTGTGGACTTGAAGAATTTCTCACACTCGATTTCATCTGGTGATAGCTCTGCGGATGAGTTGGAATTTTTTGAAGAAGCTCTCGTAGTTGCTCGTTTGAAAATTCCTTTACGGCCGATAGAGAAACCCTCGGTGAACAACCACTGCATTCGATTGGACTTAAAAGTATCCAACCAAATATTGTTTGTTGGCCAACTAATTGAGTGTTTCTAGACCTGACGACTCTGCTTTTGATGATCCGCCCATAGCTGTCAGCCCCTATGATGATGTCTATTGGACCAGGTTTTAGATAATCTGGATCGGCTAGTTGAAGACCTTGTGGAGGGTCGATCCATGTTGGTGAGTACGAGAATGATGGTAGATTGACGGTGAGCTTCTTGAGTATGTGAGCATTCCTTTGCACTTACTTTGATCTGATACTGCTCCTCTCGTGTGACCTGAGTTGATCTCTCCTATTCCGATTAACTCTATTTTTGATGACCTTCGTAAGAGTTGTAGTTGATGTACTAGTTCCTCAGAGATGAATGATAACTCTGAGCCTTGATCGATGAGCACTCTTGCTTTGAAAAGGAAGCCCTTTGGAGATTGGGCTCGTACTTGGGCTGTTGCTAGAAGTACATATTGCTGATCAGCTGCTGAATGATGACTGCTCTGCTCGATGATTGGCTGCTTGGTGATTTGCTCTTTGATGACAGGCGATGTTGAAGTATTGATCGCCTGATTGATGATGAGTCGTGTTGGTGATGCTCTGCATGCTGGTAGGTATAATGGAGAGCGATCAATGACTGTTTTAAATTAGAATGAAACTAATTTCCTACGTACACTCAGCCCAGCTCGTTCTTGGTTGGACCGTCTGTGGATTTTCTCTTCTTGTTGGGTCCACTGGAGCTGCCTGCTCAGCATCTTTACCGTTGATGCACGTTCTTCCACCATGGATGAGTGTGTCATGCCTACGCTTGCAGGTGAAGCAGGTCTTGGTGGACCTGCACTTTGAGAATAGATGTGGGCCCAAGCAGTTGAAACAGAGCCTTGTGCTGACCACGAACTCGTTCCTCTGACAGTTCGCGATGAAATGTGGTCCCTTACAGTAGGCACAGTGCTCCCTGGGGACTGGTCTGGTGGGCTCTCCTGGCTCCCTCTGTTGAGTTACTACTAGGTGAGCATTCCTCTGTGATGTTGAATTGCTCCTTGCTTTTTGACTGGTGATGCTAGAGGCTCGGTGATCAGCTTGGCTCCAGCATTGATTCCTCTTGCACAGGATTCAACGAAGCCGGTGAACTCCTCCAGCGTTGGGAAATCCTTGGAATCTCCTAGCTTCAATTCCCATGCTCTGAGAGTCTCAGCATTCAAGGACTTCCTCAATAGATGAACGATCATCTGCTCACTGATCTTTCCTTGGACAAGCTTGTCATGGTGATTAGCTGATCTCTCGTATCAAGGGCTGTCGCTGCATTGGCGTTGAGGTTCTTCGCAGTTGCCTTGGTGATCTTCGGGAGGTTAAGGATCCTGTCGAACAGTGCTTGAGCGATGAGTCCGGGATCCTCATATTTCCTCACTAGCTTTTGCCAAGCCTTCTCATAATTCTCATCGGCCACCGTGAAGGTGTGGTTGAGATTTTCTGCCTGTCCCTAGAGAGCCTCCTTGAGGCGTACTAGCTTTTGCACTGGGGGAATTGAATCATCTTTTCCCACCAGTGACTGGCACAGGTCGCTGAACTGCTTCCACTCTGAGTATTTTCCTTCGAATGGTTTCAGTCCAATTCTCTTGAGTTGATTGGCTTGACCTGATGTTGTTGATGTCCTCGTTGCTTCCCTTTTTTTGATAATTCCCTTGAGCTGGTAGATGAGTTTGAGGCAGATCTTCAGCGTTGGGGCCCTCTGATATATGCTCTGAATAATATGTTGATGAGTTGGCAGGAGGTTCTCGCTGAGTTTGTCTTGGATGATGAGAAATTCATTCCATTCTCCTTCGATGATTTTCTCCTGGCCGTCCAACTCCTCGACTGTGAGACCGCTAATGTTCTCGGCTGACTGCAACAAATCTTGATAAATAGCATTTAGTGAATTTACCTTGAAGTCCCGTTTATTTGTGTGGAACTTCTGAGTCTCTGTGAGTTCCCCTATTGCAGTTCCCATCTCGGCTACAGTGCGTTTATTTTCTTGTTGGTGAATGGAAGTCGCGTCAGGAAACTGCAGTGTTATTTCTTCACTGAAGTGCGCTTGAGAGGGATGCTGAGTAATCTGGATAATTGGTTCAATTACGCTTGGCGTTTTCTCAGTACGTTCATCCATACGTTGATTATCTCCTAACTCTGCGGCTGACATGGTAGTCGTCTCTGCTCTGGGTGAGGTAACTTATCGATAACAGGTAGATACCGACTGATGTTGACTTGGTGCCCACTGTCGATAAGGTAGGGCACGTTATTACGTGAGGGCACTCTTCCAACTGCCGGTTGGTTTTCGCGTTGCGCGCGCCGCTTGGGCCTCGGCTAGTTTCGACGGGGACCGAGGTTTTCCGAAGTTACACAGCACTAGAGGTCGAAGTGTCACTACCGGTGTTTACAATACCGAACTTCAACTATAAACACTAGGCACAACACTCTGCACTCTTGATTGTCTTGACTTGTCCGTAGATTTGCTCGTGTGGAACCCGGAAGTCCGTTACAAACGAGGCGTCCCTTTTATTCTAGAAATTTCCATTCACTCTCACGCACTTTCTCCCAATCCGGCTCGAAGGACCGTTTGTTTGAGATTGAAGCTTAATTGAGATGCCGGTTGGGGAAAGGGAATTGTGGAAGGAGGTGGAAAATTAAAACACGCGTAATTATAAAACCACACTGTTTATGTATTTTATTGTGAAATAACCTACGCGTCTTGATTAATTAATAATGTTACATTGTTGAGTTGCTCGACAAAGTCAATTAAATGATGATTTGAAAAATGCACTGCACTTGAGATTCTCTCGATATTGAACTTGATGATTGACTCAAAATAATTGATAGTTAACTTGGAATTAATTGATGATTGAATTAAATTAAATAGAGACGCTGTATGAAGCGCTAGACTCAAATATATCGCGTTGATGTACTCCGGTAATGTACTCGATTGAGCGGTTACGGCGATACAATACTGTGGTTAGAGTGACTCTCTCGATGTCTAGAATGATACTACTGACTTTTTCGGCGATTTTCTTCGTAGCTGACCGTGACCCCGAAGGGTCCCGAAGTTTCTCGAGATTTTCGTTGAGCCCGGTGACAGTTTGACTAGTTTGAATAGCTGAATTTCAAACAGGTCCTAACGAAATGTTCGATATCTCTCTTAGATTTCGAGATATTCATTGAAAACTCCCCAGTAAGCAAAATCGATTTAGACTGTTTTATCGCACAACTACTGAATTTATGAAGCTGAAAAAAAAAACGTTTTAGGCAATGAATAATAGACTCTACAGCGTCATCGAATCACATTGTTTCTTATAAATTGCTCTTATTTTCGAATTTTCAATCATTAAAATATAATTCAATAAGCATTGAATTATATTTTAGTACAAGCATACAGACCTTTTCCATCATTTCTTTATTTCACATTTTCTCAACAGAAATTGAGAACTTGATCATCTACAACTTTATAATACTCAATTTAAGGAGTTATTTTTGCATTTTGCTGTATGATGATCACCTTTTTCTTTTCCAGGATTGACGCGGCTTCTTAGGGAAAAGAGCAAACTCCGTAGAAAACGAATATCTTCTTAAGCACACTTGATTTCCATCATTCACCACAAATGAGTGGATCTTTTGAATGCCTGGGATGGGTTCTGCACTCTTGAACCTATCAATGAGGTATTCAGCAGCTTTACGCTGATCAACTGTAGGACTGAACATGATCTTTGTTGTGTGAAAGTACTGAACCGCCCAATCAAATAATGCATGTACGTTTAGGATCTGATCTTCAGAGGGGGATTTAGCTTGAAGGCTTGCTCCAGTAGCAAATCTCTTCAAATTTGCACCAATACCATCACATGGTCCTCTGCCATATGCAGTGGCAAAGAAATACCACTCTGCACATATCTTAAAATCATTGACATGTTCCATCAAGTTTGCCACAGTGAACCGGTTCTTGAAATGCTGGCCTGCTCCATCAGTGAAGTAAATAACTTTAGTAACGTTGAATTTACTTTGCAAATATTGAAGTATCAATTTTTGGAACTCATAGACTGCAGTCGTGTTGTGCTCACGATTATCTGATAAGATTGCAATGGAGCCATGTAGAAGTTGATTATCAAGTTTGTAATAATATACAACAGTGAAAATGGTAGCTTGATTATTGCTCCAATGAAATGATTGGATGGCATCCTGTGCCACGAAGGCATAGTTCTCTGCAAAATCCATTTGAATAATGAATTCTCCCTCCTGTAATTTGTTTTTCCTGTAGTCCACGTATTCAGATTGTTGTTTGGTGATGAATGCCTGTGATTTGAGCTGCACAGTTTTATCACTCAAGCTTTCAACAAATGCATCACCGGTCAAGACGTTCACTGTCATTGCTGCATGATCAGTCTCAATCCATGAGCGATATTCTACTCGATCAATATCATTTTCATCAAATATTTCTTGAAGAAATTCTTCCAGAACCGTTGAGTCGGGACATTCTAGACATTCTCCCTAATGACACTGAGGTGTTGGGTTGTTGCAGGTGATAAGAGGGATCAAATCTTTTTACGACGACAATTTATGTACTGAATTCTCAGTAAGTCACGGAAAATCCAAAGCATCCATCATGATTTTCAAATTCTCATAGTATACACAGAGACATACACAGTGTGTCTCGTATTGTCGTGTCGCGACATACACAGTGTGTCCCGAGCAAAGACACATTGCTCAGTTCGAAATTTTGCAAACGTCGACAAACCAACTTCTACATTTGGATGAGCTAACAAAAATAATCAGAATAAGTCCTCCAAATTGCAGTAGAGACAACAGTAGAGTGTCATTAGGGAGAATGTCTAGAATGTCCCGACTCAACGGTTCTGAAAGAATTTCTTCAAGAAATATTTGATGAAAATGATATTGATCGAGTAGAATATCGCTCATGGACTGAGACTGATCATGCAGCAATGACAGTGAACGTCTTGGTGATGCGTTTCTCTAAATGTAATCCTGATCCATCGGGCTGTTTAGCTGATAGGAAGTCTTTCGCTCCACCTAATATTTTAATGTTTGAATCATGCTCATAAAAAGCCTTAATGGTATCAACTGTGTTCTGGTCTTTTCTCCTAGCAACGCGTGGCTGAGGAGCTCTTAAAATTCCTTTTTGATCGACTAAGGCTTTGGCTTTCTTCACCATCCATCAAGTAATATTGAAAAAATGAGCAGTCGTCCTGATAGTCCAACTCTTGGAAACAACTGAAAGAATCAAGTATTTCTCCACTTTGGTCGTCTGAGGGTCTGAATATCTCTCTTGCAATTGTTTCAACATTTCTTCTCCAGCTTGTGCGAAGTGGATGCTTTTCTTATCATCGACATCATTGCAGTAGACTTTGGGTTGTTGGGGAGGAGTGGGACAGTACGTTTCATCACTTGCATTCGTTGTTTGACTGAGGGTTGTTGAGGAACTGATTATGGCTGACGGTGATCTTACGAGAGATTGTTGACTGGCACCAGATGGCTGGGACAAAGATACTTCTGATAGACCGGACAAGAGTTTCTCCATCTGAGGATAACAAGTGGGGGCCTCAGGTTCACCGATAGATTTCTCGGTTACGAGTTGATTTTCAGGTATGAAACACAACTCATCCACAGGTTCACTCACTGCAATTTCTTCAATGTTTGATTCATCCCGGGCTTTGTTACTGTCATCAGATTCATCAACCGTAATAATCCGCAAAACACTACTTGGTAATTTCTCCAGTACTTGCCGACAATCACTACAAATTTTAGCACCTTTCAATGTAGAAACTTCGGCAATCAAAGCATCGGATGGTTTACCTAATGTTTTTTTAACAACATGGTTTGCCAATTTTAAAGGATTACAGCTTCTATCACGGAACTTCATGATACTTGTAATTTTTCACAAGTAAAACGAAACAATTGATACGTCTGGACTTGACCACACTTTTGAGTCAATGTCATTGTATGTCAACTGGAAGACAATTGAAGTTATGTTACTGTTGTGCCAGTGTTCCTTTTCAATGAACTACAGGCAATTAGGCGCCAAATTCGGAAATTCAAAAATGTGAGGAATTTATAGGGGAAAATGTGACTTGATTATACCGTAGAGTATGTTACTTATTTCTCGAAACGTTTTTTTCTTCAACTGGATGAATTTAGTAGCCTAGAGATGAACAGTCTAAATCGATTTTGCTCACTGGGGGATCTTCAATCAATATCTCGGAATCTAAGAGAGATATCGAACATATCGTCACGACCTTTTTTGTGGAGCGGATTGAAGTCTACAAAAAAGGTTTGTTTAAAATTAAGCTATTCAAACTAATCAAACGGTCACCGGGCTCAACGAAAATCTCGAGAAACTTCGGGACCCTTCGGGGTCACGGTCAGCTACGAAGAAAATCCCCGAAAAAGAAGTGGTATCGTTCTAGCTACCGAGAGAGTCACTCTAATCACAGTATTGTATCGCCGTAACCTCTCACTCGAGTATATTCCTGGAGTACAACAACGCGATATATTTGAGTGCGATATATTATAGCGCTTCATACAGCGTCTCAATTTAATTTAATTCAATTATCAATTAATTCCGAGTTGACTATCAATTATTATGAGTCAATCATCAAGTTCAATATCGAGAGAATCTCAAGTGCAGTGCATTTTTCAAATCATCATTTAATTGACTTTGTCGAGCAACTCAACAGTGTAACATTATTAATTTATCAAGACGCGTGGGTTATTCCACAATAAAGTACATCAACAGTGTGGTTTTATAATTGCGCGTGTTTCAATTTTCCACCTCCTTCCACAATTCCACTTTTCCCCAACCGGCATCTCAATTTAGCTTCACTCTCAAACAAATGGTCCTTCGAGCCGGATTGGGAAACAGTGCGTGAAAGTGAGTGGAAATTTCGAGAATAAAAGGGACTCTTCGTGTGTAACGGACTTTCGGGTTTCACACGAGCAAATCTACGGACAAGTCAAGACAATCAACAGTGCAGAGTGTTGTGCCTAGTGTTTACAGTTGAAGTTCAGTATTGTACACAACGGTAGTGACACTTCGACCTCTAGTGCTGTGCAACTTCGGAAAACCTCGGTTTCCGTCGGAACTAGCCGAGGCCCAAGCCGCGCGCGCGACGCGAAAACCAACAGACAGCGCCCCCACCTAATAGCGTGCCCTACATTATCGACAGGTGGGCACCAAGTCAACATCAGTCGGTATCTACCTATCATCGATAAGTTACCTCACACAGATCAGAGACGACCACCATGTCAGACGCGGAGTTAGGAGATAACGTATGCATGAACGCACTGAGGAGACGCTAAGCGTAATTGAGCCAATTATCCAGATTACTGAGTATCCATCTCAAGCGCACTTCAATGAAGAAATTACACCGCAGTTTCCTGACGCGACTTCCATTCACCAACAAGAAAATGAACACACTGTAGCCGAGATGGGAACTGCAACAGGCGAACTCACAGACACTCAGAAAATCCAAAAAAATAAACTGGACTTCAAGGTAAAGTCACTTAATGATATTTATCAAGAATTGTTGCAGTCAGCCGAGAACATTGGCGGTCTCACAGTTAAGGAGTTGGACGGCCAGGAGAAAATCATCGAAGGAGAATGGAATGAATTGCTCATCATCCAAGACAAACTCAGCGAGACCCTCCTGCCAACTCATCAACATATTATTCAGAGCACGTATGAGAGGGCTTCCACGCTGAAGAAAACCTGCCTCACACTCATCTATCAGCTCAAGGGAATCATCAAGAAGAGAGAATCAACGAGTACATCAACAACATCAGCTCAAGCCAATCAACTCAAGAGAATTGGACTGAAACCATTCGAAGGAAAATACTAAGAGGGGAAGCAGTTCAGCGACCTGTTCCAGTCACTGGTGATAAAAGATGATTCAATTCCTCCACTGCAAAAGCTAGTACACCTCAGGGAAGCTCTCAAGGGACAGGCAGCAAATCTCATCGACACCTTCACGGTGACCGATGAGAATTATGAGGCCTGGCAGAAGCTAGTGAGGAAATATGAGGATCCCAGACTCATCGCTTAAGCACTATTCAACAGGATCCTCAACCTCTCGAAGATCACCAAGGCAACTGTGGAGAACCTCAACGCCCATGCAGCGACAGCCCTTGAGACGAGAGTTCAGCTGATCACTATCACAGGCTTGTCCAAGGAGAGCGTCAGTGAGCAGATGATCGTTCATCTATTGACGAAGTCCCTGGATGCAGAGACTCTCAGAGCATGGGAATTGAAGCTAGGAGATTCCAAAGACTTCCCAACACTGGAGGAGTTCACCGGCGTCGTTGAATCTTGCGCAAGAGGAATCAATGCTGGAGCCAAGCTGACCACCGAGCCTCTAACATCACCAGTCAAGAAGCGAGGAGCAAGTCAACGTCAGAGAAATGCTCACCTAGCAGTAACTCAACAGGGGGAGCCAGAAGAGCCCACCAGACTGCTCCCCAAGGAGCACTGTGCCTACTGCAAGGGACCACATTTCATCGCGAACTGTCAGAGGTTCGTCGACCTGTCCCCCATCAAGAGGAATGAGTTCGTGGTCAGCAGAAGGCTCTGTTTCAACTGCTTGGGCCCACATCTATTCGCAAAGGGCAGGTCCACCAAGACGTCCTTCAGCTGCAAGTGCAGGCATCACACGCTCATCCATGGTGGAAGCACATACACCAACGGCAGAGAAGCTGAGCAGGCAGCTCTAGTGGACCCACCAAGAGGAGAAAATCCACAGACGTTCCAACCAGGAACGAGCTGGGCTGAGTGTACGTAAAAATTTAGTTTCCTTCTAATGTAAAACCACTCATTGATCGCTCTCAATTATACCTACCAGCATCCAGAGCATCACCAACACGACTCATCACCAATCAGGCGATAAGTACTTCAAAATCGCCTGTCATCAAAGAGGAAACCACCAAGCAGCCAATCATCGAGCAGAGCAGTCATCATTCAGCAGCTGATCAGCAATATGTACTTCTTGCAACAGCCCAAGTACGAGGACAATCTCCAAAGGGCTTCCTTCTCAAAGCAAGGGCGCTCATCGATCAAGGCTCAGAGTTATCGTTTATCTCTGAGGAATTAGTACATCAACTACAACTCTTACGGACGTCATCAAAAATAGAGTTAATCGGAATAGGAGAGACCAACTCAGGTCACACGAGGGGAGCAGTATCAGTACTGCTTCAAGCAGTCGATGGATCAAAGCAAGTGAAAATCAATGCTCACATACTCAAGAAACTCACGGTCAAGCTACCATCATTCTCGTGCTCACCAACATGGATCGACCCTCCACAAGGTCTTCAACTAGCCGATCCAGTTTATCTAAAACCTGGTCCAATAGACACCATCATAGGGGCTGACAACTATGGGCGGATCATCAAAAGCAGAGTCGTCAGCTCCTGAAACACTCAATTAGTTGGCCAACAAACAATATTTGGTTAGATACTAACAGGGCCAATCGAATGCAGTGGGTGTTTACCAAGGGTTTCTCTATCGGCCGTAAAGGAATCTTCAAACGAGCAACTACAAGAGCTTCTCCAAAGATTTTGGCACCAGGAGGAATTACCAAAAAATTCCAACTCATCAGCAGAGCTATTACCAGATGAAATCGAGTGTGAGAAATTCTTCAAGTCCACACATACCAGAGATGACACTGGGCACTACATCGTCAGACTTCCTCTACGGACCTCACCAACAGCGCTCGGAGGGTCTAAATTCAAGGCCTCACGTCAACTCCTGTCAGCTGCACGGCGTCTCCAGACAGACGAATCATATTCCCAGCTCTACAGAGAATTCGTCAACGAGTATGAGGCACTGGGACACATGCGCAAAGCACCAGAAGGACCAGAACCCGTCACAGCATACTATCTACCGCATCACGGGGTTCTGAGAGAAGACGCACTCACCACGAAGCTGAGAGTTGTCTTCAACGGCTCAAGTCCTCGCTCATCAGGATTATCTCTCAATGATATCCTTCATCCGGGTGAGAAACTACAAGTTATTACCATGAACGTATTAACATGGCTCAGAAAACACAGAATTGTTTTCGGAACGGACATTGTCAAGATGTTCAGACAGATTCGAGTGCATCAAGACAATTGGGATCTCCAGAGAATTCTGTGGATCAACGAAAATCAGCAGCAGATCACCTAGCAACTGACCACAGTCACCTACGGTCTCAATTGTTCTCCATGTCTATCTCTACGAGTTCTCCAACAATTAACAGAGGATGAAGGACATCACCACCCGGCAGCCGTCGAGTCACTCACCAAAGGTCGCTACGTCGATGACATATACGGCGGAGCTGATACAGAAGATCACCTCAAAGAAATCGCATGGCAGTTAAAAAGGCTCTATTAAGCAGGCGGTTTCGCTGTACAAAAGTGGAGCAGTAATTGCTCACACGTATTAGAGGAATTGGGAACCTCAACGAGGAAGGCAATCATCCAGTTCGAGGAGCCTATCACCAAAGTGCTCGGATTGTATTGGCATCAATCGTCCGATACATTTCGATTTAAATCAAAGCAGTTTGAGTCAGCAACAATCCCCAAGGGAGCAGTAGCATCAGAAATTGCTCAACTGTTTGATCCATTGGGATTCATCGCTCCAGTAATCGCCCGAGGCAAGATAATTATCCAAGATCTGTGGAAACTCAAGCTCACTTGGGACACACCACTTCCAAAGGAGTATGAAGATCAATGAACGAGCTTCCGAGAGAACCTCAACCAACTGAATCAAGTCTCAGTGCCAAAGTGGCTGAGACTCTCATCGAAGACATCGAGCGTCAACAACAACCATGGGTGCAGTGGTGTATATCCGCACCAAGCAACTCAATGGACCAGCATCAACGGTAATGTTATACGCTAAAACAAAAATAGCTCCCCTCAAGTGCATGACCATCCCTCGACTGGAGCTAACAGCAGCACTCATGCTTACTCAACTAGTAGTTGCAACTCAGCAGATGCTGGAACTCAACGCAGTAGACACGTATCTATGGTCTTGTTCAAGTATAGTGCTAGCTTGGATCAAGTGTCACCCATCGAGATGGAAGGGTTTTGGCCAAAACCGAGTCATCAACATCCAGGAATCCTTTCCAGATGCTACCTGGAGGCACATCAGCAGTAAGGAAAATCCAACCGACTCTGCATCCAGAGGACTATCACCACAGGATCTAGCCGAAGATCAGCTATGGTGGTCAGACCCTGAGTGGATAAGTCAGGAACTTGAAAACTGACCAGTATCATCACTTGACACTCCAGCCGAAGCATCAACAGAAACAAGGCCAACTTCATCACATCAGACATCTATCAAGGTCAACGCCGTAGCAGAGCTCCTCAACAGATACTCAACACTAGTCAAAGTCCTCCAAGTAACAGCCACCCTGAACCGAGCCATCGAAAGGTTCAGAAGACGGCGAGTCCCTCAAACACCGGTCTTAACCTCTAGAGAACTCAACGAAGCCAGACTGTTTTGGGTAAAAATTACGCAATATCAATATTTTGCATCTGTTCACAAGATACTTGAGAGATACCATCAAATACCACGGAGTCATCCACTAACAAAGCTGACTCCAACTCTAGACAATGAGAGCATCATCAGGCTAGTTGGCCGCCTTAAGAATTCTCAACTAGACCCTGACGAGATTCACCCAATTATCCTGCCTCGTCAGTCTCGTTTCACAGCGTTGGTCATCGAAGAAACTCACCGAAGGACACTCCATGGAGGAACTCAACTCACCCTAGCCCACACACGCCAGAAGTATTGGATCTTCAGCGGCAGATGCACTGTGAGAGCATATATCTCACGCTGCCCTGTCTGCATCCGACATCGTGGACGACAGGCCCAGCACCTAATTGGCCAACTGCGTGCAGTGAGAATATCACTTTCATGAGCATTTCTCCATACGAGGGTAGACTATGCCGGCCCATTTCCTATTCTCAAATGGTGACCCACAAATGCCCAAACATCTAGCGTTCATATTGCAGTATTTGTGTGTTTCACTACATTAGCAGTCCATTTAGAGCTCGTTTCCAACCAGACAACAGACGCATTTATCGGAGCCTACGAGAGATTCACCGGAACGAGAGGCATCCCCGAGGTTATGTACAGTGACAACGCAACCACGTTCGTTGGCGCCTCAACAGTTCTCAATAAGCTGTACAACCAGCTAACCAGAGAGAATCACCAAGTCCAGGCTGCTCTGGCCACCAACGTGACTCAATGGAGCTTTTCACCACCGAGAGCAACCAATTTCGGTGGCAAATGGGAGGCAGCGGTCAAATCAACGAAATATCATCTCAAAAGAGTACTTGGGTCGACGACATTCACCTACGAGGAACGCAACAGCATTCTGATCCGGATAGAGGCCTGCCTCAACTGCGGGCCAATCACACCGATGTCAGATGACCCAGAGGACTTCCAGGCACTCACCCCAGGTCACTTCCTAATAGGTGAGCCTCTACAGGTGATTCCAGAGCCATCAATCATCAATGAGAACCCCAGCAAGTTGCAAAGATGGAATCTGATCACCCAGAAAATAAAGCAATCCTGGTCCAGGTGGTCCAGAGCGTGTCTTCAAAGGTACCAAGCTATCTACAAGTGGAATCAACGACGAGAGAACATCAAAGTTGGAGAGATGATCTTGATGGTCGACGAGGATTATCCACCAGCATAATGGCCACTCGGTAGAGTAGTGGCAGTTCACTCAGGAGACGATGGCCTCCCAAGAATGGCAACCATCAACACACCACGAGCAGTAGTACCAACTCGACCGGATGGTACCACCAACATCGAAAGAATCACCAGTACCAGCATGACATTCATCAGACCCATCATCAAGCTCTGTCTCGGACCGACAGACCCTCCACCAGCAGAACATCCCTCAGAAGACGATCCCGAGCCAGTCAACGAGTAATTATCGCAGAGAAGCAGCACCAGAGAAATTCAACGCACAATTCATCATCCGAGATGATGAATGGCCCCCGGGATGTTTGAAATTCAGCTATTCAAACTAGTCAAACGGTCACCGGGCTCAACGAAAATCTCGAGAAACTTCGGGAGCCTTCGAGGTCACGGTCAGCTAAATCCCCGAAAAAGAACTGCTATCATTCTAGCCACCGAGAGAGTCACTCTAATCACAGTATTGTATCGTCGTAACATCTCAATCGAGTACATTCCCGGAGTACATCAACGAGATATATTTGAGTCTAGCGTTTCGTACAGCGTCTCAATTTAATTTAATTCAATTATCAATTAATTCCGAATTAACTATCAATTATTTTGAGTCAATCATCAAGTTCAATATCGAGAGAATCTCAAGTGCAGTGCATTTTTCAAATCATCATTTAATTGACTTTGTCGAGCAACTCAACAGTGTAACATTATTAATTTATCAAGACGCGTAGGTTATTCCACAATAAAGTACATCACCAGAGTGGTTTTATAATTCCATGCGTTTTAATTTTCCATCTCCTTCCACATTTCCACTTTTCCCTAACCGGCATCTCAATCTAGCTTCACTCTCAAACAAGGTCATCACAAAAATTTTGCTATCCCCGTTATATGCGAAGATATTCGCATAAAACTCATATGAGACCTGTATTGCCTTGAATTTTTTCTATTGCTGGGCTCCTAAATTTTGGCTTTCCAAAATTTTTTTTGTGATCTCTTAGGAGCCTGAAGAATCATGAAAAAAAATATTTAAAAAAATTAAAAGCGTCCAAGAGGAGGAAAAAATACATTTTCCTCTTTTTTTAATATAAAATCGATCTCCCAATTATTTGCGATTTTTGATGATTCTTCCATCTTGTAGATCGGAAAATATACAGTTTTTTTTCTTTAATCATCATTTTTGAACGCATAGAACCGGAGAAAAGAGGTATTTTCATCAGACAAGAGAATTTAATTGCAAGAGAAGAATGAGCGGTCCAAAATTTTTTCTGAAAAAAATGTAGTATACTTTTTTCGAGTCACAAAACACCCTGAAAAATTGGCGAGACATTCTGCGAGATCATGGAAAATGACTGTCCGGTTTGACGGAGATATGCTTTTAGTTCCAATTTCAATTTGTAATGAGAACTAAGACGAAATTGCAGTGATGCATTTCATGATAATGAAGTAGTGAACACAATAGAATACACGATTCTTACCAGGTCAAAATACACCAAAATATGTTGTTAATAGTCAACAAACACCCTCGTCGACTCGAAATGGTCTAATTGACGGAAGTGGAGAGAAGATGTTGAGAGACACAGGTCAGTATTGATAGTGAAACATTGCCGCTAAGTCTGTACACTTGTAGAAGCATTGGGGGCGGCGTAGCAGCAAACAAACTCCACCAAAGATGAAGAAAAAGAAGATCATGAGAAGAACATTCAGAGAAAATACAAAAAATTCCAGGTCGCGATCAATTGCTTCAGACACTGATGGCACCACAGGTGATGCCATAAAATCCCATAATGAGAAGTTGCTCCCAAATCATTCCAAGAATGGGACTCAGAATGACTCAGCTACCAGTAAAGGTACAGTGAGAAATGACACAATGTCTCACGGACAGTCATCAACTCCCCTTCATGAAGATACTTGTGGAATCTCAGCCACTGCCTCACAGAGACTTATGAGAGGTTAGCTGAGAAACGAGACCATGACTCTCAAACAGCCTATATTTCCAGACTGTTACAATGTTCATGAATTCCGAGGCAGTGGGTCACATTGAACTGTCGAGGAGAATCGTCTATCTAATTCTTCTGTACTACTCGACCTCTCCTGTACCCATCACACAACAAGTAACGATGGAAAGCGATTGATGGAAATGCATCTGCAGCAAATCCCAAAAATCGGGTCCAGTCGCGCGCTTCGCACGCTCCCTCTTTAGGGTATGACCGGTAGGGGTTGGTGGAATTGGGTGCGACCCATTACGGATCGAACCAATAACTTCCCGACCATTTGTTTTTCTTCATTACTTTTTTAAAATTATGTATTGATTCAACCTATTTCTCACATTTTTCATGTATTTTTCATGTATTCTATTTTTTTTCATTCCTTCACTTTTATGTCCTCCATGCTGATAGATTATCCCAAATTAAGGTGTACGTGGACGGTACGACTTGCCCCGCCTCTACCACGAACCCCTCGTCCTCCACCGCGTCCCCCATGATTGTTGCATCTGCCTTCGCGCCCCCTACGATTATTGCCTCTTAGTCCAGGCAATCTAGAAAAACCACATACTTGAGTAAATGTAAATTAGTCGCGCTTCGATGAAATTTATACCAAACGTCCAGAATATTGTCCTGAACAACATATCAAAATGGAGAGGGTCTAGGTGTTTCAATTATATTTTTGATTATTAAAAAACTATTGAAAATTCGGGGGTTAACCCCAAGAACACGAATAACTTTCATTCAGAATATCCAGTTGAGAATCGAAAAATATCAGTTTGTTCAGCATGAAAAACTCAACAAATCATAAGCGAGAACGTATCCCCTAGGAGTTATCGTTTTTTAAAATTAATTCATAACTACGTACTATTTAGAATTGCCTAAAACAATCAGCTGTTAGCGCAAGGCCCACCCCCTGCTGCGCACGCAACACACTCACATCGGCGCTATGCGCAGAACATTCAAAGGATTAAAATTCACACGTTTGACTGACATAAAACCCTTTAAAAATTTTGACTAATTTTTAACTTTATTTATCGATAACTCCTCAAAAAATTATCATTATTATTGTCCGGCCATGTAAATATATATAGATAAATTGAAATCCAATCAGTTGAGAAATCATTAAAATAGTATGAATATATAATAATGTGCTCATTGATATTTTATCTGCTATGCAGGCGGCACTTGCTCTGAATTTTTTAGAATAAAAATTATCATCGTACGAGAAAATAAACCACCAATTTAGTATTTTTGAAGTTAATTCATTCAGGTTGTAAATGCTGAATTCAGTCAATCGATGTAACACTGCTCATTGCTTATTTTTAATACAAAATATACTTATACCAAGTATAAAATATACTAAATATTTTTCTGTGAATGAGTTCGCTGGTTCGTAACGATTTAGGCCGTATTATTTGGGAAATCAACAAATGCTAGTTTCTACCTACGCCCCTTCCCTAACCAATCAGAGGAGCAGCTGCCTGGCGCCAGCTGGGCCCAACCGTAACGCTAGGGATTTATGGTTAGAGAAGCCACGCCACGTGGGACATATTCAGTTGTCTTGTGGTAGTCAGTACAGAAAGTGTGGAATATTTTTATTCTGATCTGAATATCATCGAGACTTCAATAAATTCCGAAATGTCTTATCAAGGAATTCGTTTTATTTGTGACAGGAGTTTGAGTAGTGGTGTCCAAACGAGAATAATGAAGAAAAGGGGAATAAATTCGTTCATTGCTAAAAGCAAACAATGCCAGGAAAAAAAGTGAGAATTCCTTGAACATTTAACCGAAGTGGAAGTCCATGAACCCTGTAGAGTTGCTTACTGTGCTTTGAAAGAAGTGGTGAGTGCGAGAGTTGCAGCTCCAGTTCATGAGGAAGAATTTAACTTTCAAGTCAATTGTTTTCTGTGTTCTGCGAAATGCGATAGTATTCGAAAAAAACATTTCGAACAGTCTCAACAGACAAATTGCAAGCGCACATTAATGATTGTGTTAATAAACGTGGAGATGACTGGAGTCAGGCTGTTCAACGAAGATTGGAGTCGACATCTTTACTGCAGGTTCAGGCTCGTTACCATAGGTCATGTTATCATAAGTTCACGACCATCACAGAAACCCATGATATTGGAAGACCGAAGATAGCAGAGATGGAAATGGCCTTTGAGAACGTGTGTCGATACATGGAGGAGAGTGATGATTGTCAATTCTCTCTCAACGAACTGATGGAGAAGATGGAAGGATTTTCGTTCACTGCAGCGACATTCAAGCAGAAACTACGCAATAAGTACAACACAGATATGATCATGTTGGAAAGTAAAGGTAAGGCCACCATTGTATGCTTTCGGGGTACAGGGTATAAAATTCTTATGAATTCCTGGTACGAGAAGAAAGCTGCTACTGAGGCTGAAGAGCGATTGCGGATAGTTTCTGCTACAGCTGATATCATAAGAGAAGATATCAGAAGCAAATTTTACGAAACATCAATCTATCCAGCTACTCAGGATCTTCTAGGTATTGTTGCGGAGTACATTCCGGAGAGTCTGCAGATTTTCCTCAACGACGTTCTACTGAAGGGGAAGACAAATAGAGACGAGAAATTGACAACAATTAGCCACTGGAATTTTTGTAACAAGACAATTCGGTTCACGTCTAATCATTGACGTTTTGAGCAGCCTGGGCTTCTGCGCTTCATATACGAATATCAGTCTCTACGAGGCGTCTGCCGTAATGAACACGAAAAGAAAAATCGATGAAAATGTATTCATACAATTTGTGTTCGATAATGCCGATCATAATGTATGCACCGTTGATGGTTTCAATACTTTTCATAGCATGGGGGGTATTTGTTGCGTGACGCCAAAATCCGCAGTAACACATCAAGGAGAAATCCCCAAGTTAACTCGGAGTCCAAGAGCTGAAGAACTAGCATCAAAGATCAACGTTCCAGTAGTCTATTGTAATCGGTTAAGTGGGGATCAATTAGGATTGAAATCCATTACGTTCCTAGATGTATCAC